GTAAACTTTAACCGTGCAGGTGTGGGACATTCAAGCAGTTGCTAGCCAAGCGGCTACTCTACCCAAGCAGGACCAAGGGCAGGCCTAGGACCAAAAAGACCAGAAACCTTAATTTCAGTTTTAAGCGTATGCAAAATAATTAAATTAACTGCCGGAGGAATTACACCACATGAAACATATGCAGTTGCAAATCACACAGCACTTTATTATTCAATAAAAGTTCCTGATGCTGCGGGTACAGGCTTAATGGGGTCCCAGTGGTGCTGTCCTCTGGGGTCCAGCAGCTGGGCTGGTCCAGTCTGGATGCAGGGGGCCGGCGTTCCTCACCCAAGAGCTTGGTTGCATCTAGATTGGGAGGTACTAGCCATTCTTCTGTCCTCTGGCAGAGAGAGGAGCCTGGAGCAGTGTCGCTTGCAGCACTGACAAAAGGACGTGCCTCTGTAGCTGTTTCGACAGGCAAGCACCATTGGCTGGCCAGGACCCATTTTTAAAGCCTGTTTCGTACCCTCAGCAGTTCAGGTGGCTATCAGTGAATTACGTCAATGCACACATGTTAATTTCAAATAGGGCAAGGGGCTACATGCGGTTATCTAGGGAGAGTACATCACTCACTCAAATGGTTATCTTGACAAGTCACTCTGAGTTAGTAACTGAAGTTCAAATCCTTATCTATGAGGTACACACGCTTCAGGGCAGTGGGGAATGTTTCTTTAATATCACACTTTAAGTTTCAAGGAAACATTTCAAAACCTTCCTAATATTTTTAGACATTCTTTAAGCATTTTTATTTTATTTTTTTAAATATATTTTATTGATTTCTTTACAGAGAGGAAGGGAGAGGGATAGAGAGCCAGAAACATTGATGAGAGAGAAACATCAATCAGCTGCCTCATGCACACCCCCTACTGGGGTTGTGCCCGCAACCAAGGTACATGCCCTTGACCGAAATTGAACCCGGGACCCTTGAGTCTGCAGTCTGACGCTCTATCCACTGAGCCAAACCAGTTAGGGCTTTAAGCATTTTTAAACATTTCTATATTTTACTACAACAGCAAGGGAGGTGACCTCTTGATCTAACAGTCACTTCATGCATCATTGGCACTGTCTCTCGCTTTGGTACACTTGTTGGTGCACCTTAAAGTCCCAATGCTCTGCTCACCTTTGAACAGTGACCACTCTCAGAAGCTCATGCTGATGCTGGTACAGGAGATAATCTTGGATCCACAGCCTGTCATCCTGTCCCAGTGAGGAGATGCCCCAAAGCCACTCTTCTGATTTGGGGAGAACCTTTTCCCACCACCTGTGTCACATTACTAACCAAGCTCCAAAGTAGTGATGCCTTGACTTCCTAGTGTTTTGTAGGGACTTTAGGTAAAAACAGTTCTATGACATTTTCTTGAATTCTCTTTGTTCTTTAGAAGTTAGTCATGCAACCTAATTGGAGCTGCACAGACTTAAAATCACTGTTTCCTTATACTCACTAGGACATTGTTCTGAATCTATGAGTTAGGCATTCACCTTTTCCTTAGAATGACTTTCCCATGAAGTTGCTCCATCCTCATTCAAAAACATGTGCAGTGAATTACTCCTACCAATATTCTGGCTATGCCTAGACATGTCTGAATCCCGAGGCGACTAAGCTAGGGCTCAAGCTGATGTCCTTACCATCCTTTTAACTTAATACTCTTTTTATTACCCCACCCCATTTTTATGGTATATTAATGCTTAATCTTTATATATCATCTATCTGTAATACTATCTCTTTTAAACTAGAAGTAAAAAATAAGGATCAACTTTGAAAATTAAATCCATACTAATACACATCTACATATAGGTTTCCTAAATCAAAAGGTTTTGGGTAGACTTCTTTATTTTTATATTTGCAATATCTAAAACATACTGTATGCTTAATAATAAAATTGACCATGTTCAAATAAATTTTATAAAAGATTCAATATTTTCAATACATGTAATATAGTCCGGGTTCCCATTAGCACTTCTAATAGAAACAACTGTTCAGCCATTCAAAAGGTTTAGTCTACATAATCAATGTAGGTGTATTGTGTCTGAAGGAGTAGGTCAAATAGTTAAGCTATGGTGTAGCTCAAGACCAAAAGTAACTGAGCAAGCATTAACTTATGGAATCTTAATAGTCACCTCATTGCTGAAGTAAAAAGGAAACCAAGAGGAAACTTAATAATATCAAAAGTTATTTTAAAGGGAGTTCACATTGGTTTGAAGGGTACTTTACTTCACACACAATATCCACCTTTGTAAAGCCCAAGAAACCCATATTTGTAACATACGCACATCTTTACGGTTTTCAGAACATAAATCTTTAGAGAAGTATTTTTTCTCCACAGATAAAAATTAAAATATTGAAAGTCTTTAGGAAAATAATAAAAGAAACCCTCCTGCAACCCAAAGGAAACTTGGAACTTTGCGTTAAGTGCCTATTTAACTATAAAAGGGTCTGTGTGTGTTGTAATGAATGGAAAACCGATTTTACTGTATTCCATTTGTGAACATCTTGCAGCAACCTATTTCGGTATTAGAAAGATCATATATTAAAAATAATTTCTGCAGTCATCAATCTATACAAGTAAAAATCTAGTTTCTGTTAAATTAACACTTCATTAAAAAATCAAAATAAAAGCTCAACAAATACTTTTTATGTTGTACTCCAAGACGGGGGGAAAAATCAAAAATTTGAAGAACAGATTGCCAGTTATTCTATTCCATAACAGTTAAGTTTCTCAGTTCTTTTTTTTTTTTTTCTGTTGCGGAGCTCTCTGTCACTGGAAACATCTTAAACCAATTTCAACTGCTACACCTGAATAAACATGTTGTAAAAGTGTTTATGTATTGAAGTGGGTCAGTTCAAGGTATGGTATTTGGCTGGAACTTCTAATTTCTCTTTTTACAGCAAAAGGGCTGCCAGAAGGAGGAAGTCTGAGCTGAATTAATACATTTGTTACAGTGGAAGTAGAATGGAAACTGCTCTGACCACAAATCAAACTGCCTCTTTCATTTATGCCAGTGATAGAGTTTTTCTAAGAAATATAGACTCTGGCATAAAGCCACTGTAAGTTTGCATTTAAAAGAGAAACCTATATGCTTATTTGTTTAAGGTTTACTGCTTTGATTATTTGTAAGTTCTTTCTTGGGTAGGACTGAGCATAGTGTCATTGGTGAGGTGGAATGCCATTTTAATACTTCTAGGGACTGAACAGGTTTTGCCAATATGCTGTAGAACAATTGTTGAGCATCCTGATGCTGCCTGGACTGGAGCACACTTTTTTATTTAACCAGTACCTCCACATTTAAAGGACCTCTGTGTCTGTCCCAACAGCTGCACAGCCTCACACGACACAGTCTCATTTTCTGACGGTGGAAGGTCTCCTCACAATACAGTATACACAAAAGTGTTTATGCTGCCAAAATAAATTTTGTTAAGAGCATGGGTTTATTTGCTAAAAAGCCATTGATGCTGTTTCAGGGACTTGTTTTCCTTTTCCTTCTTCTAAGGTGGGTCAGGCTATAGAATGGACTGAGGTTGCTCCACAGTCTTCACTGAATAAATATTTTAAGAAAACATGCACATCTCCCATGGGGCAAAGCGGAGTCAGTCACGCACATATTTCAAACCACATTATATATTGCTCTTCAAAGATGGGTAATTTCTCTACGTCAAGTAGATAATTTGCATGAGTTTTTAGTAATTCTCAACTAAATTTACAACATAAGATTACATAGTTCATTCTCTTTGTGTGATTTTCATGGACCAATATCAGCCGATGGTTTGCTTCATATATATTATAGTATTAAAGTATATGATTAGATATTTATGTTATATATAATATTTTCAGTGATCGTTTTAAACTAGAGAGGATAATAAGAGTGAATTGTAAAAAGGGGAAATAGTAACATGTACCTCCTAGATTATCTGTGGAATCAAATAACACAAGGAAAACAGTAAAATGACTAGCATATCCATAGCAAGGGCTCCAAAACATTTGGCATGATTATAATTATAAGCGTTATCATTGTTACCCCAATGGGAGAGGCACTTTATTAACCTCTACTGCTAGGCCCTAGGACACCTTGACTTCTAACTCACTCCTCTACCGGCCCTTCTTCTCTGATGCACAGCCATACCGAGTGGCTCAGGAAGGTCAGAGATGAAGGTCAGTCTTCATGCTCATCGGGCATTTTTCTCCTTTCTGAAAGACTCCAGGCTTGGTTTGTGTCTTCTGAGATCTTTTCAGTAAACATTCAGTCGTGTCAAAACTCAGAAGGAGAGGAATTATGAAATCTTCATGTTTCCCTCCAGTTGAGAAAAAGCTGGCACTTAAAGCAAGTCCCCATCCCCAGCGGGGCTTCTGGAATGACCTTTGAAGAGCTTTCAGTAGAGCCCAGCTCTGTAAAGTCTGCTGGGCACAGGCCAGAGGGCAAGTGGGAGGCTATCAGCACTAATTAATGCTTGAAGGGCTCCAAAGGAGCTGGGGAAAGTAGCAACATCCAGCCAGCCATTCAGCTTTTATCACTTAGAGGAAAATTATAGGGAACTTAATACAGAAGAGCCCATAGCTCATATTTTTGAAATTGTTACTCAATGTGGATATTTCCAGGCTGATGGTAGTCAACCTTCCCACGTACAGTATTGCTGACTTCCAGGTCTGAGAGCTCTGTTAGTGGAGGCAGCCCGAGGGTGTTCTGCGGTGGAAGAATGATGCAAAATGCAAAACCAAGCATGGATAATTGTCTGTAATCGTAAACTCGCAATGTTTATAAAGATGTTTGGCCTGAAAAGAAAAGATTCTGATAATGTTTTAAAACTCCCCCCCACCACCACCACCAAAGTACCCTCAGAATTCATTCATATCAGGTAAACTTGATCTTGTTTTTCATAAACCGAGTGATTGTGCATTGTGTTCTAGGACGCAGTATCAACGTCAAATCTGCTGGTCTGGTGGGAAGACATGGGCCTCAGTCAAAACAACCGTTCATGGTGGCTTTCTTCAAGGCGAGCGAGGTACTCCTGCGATCCGTGAGAGCAGCCAACAAACGGAAAAACCAAAGCCGCAGTAAATCCAGCTCTCACCAGGACTCCTCCAGAATGCCCAGTGTCGGAGGTAAGGTAACACCGGAGCAGCAATGCGCAGAGTTATGGGGTCACATGTTGCAAATCAAGTAGCCGCCATAAATTTACTCTCTGGATATACCTTTATTTGGCTTATTAAATCACCCAGCAATATTTCTAGCATCCCCAGAATGTTTCATCAGTGAATCACTTGGTAATTCATTTTAAAATAAGTATGGCTGGCCTTGCTATGTTGAAAGATTCAGTTCAAATTAAAATCAAGCTGGCAGTAATAAAATTATGAAATGGCTACGTCAACAAAGTCTAGCCAAAAGTGAATTGCACAGCTTGCTGAGCTGACCTCCCCAGGACCTCTCAAATATGGATGGGTAGCCAGGTAAATTCAACATAGAAATGTTTCTTTAGTACTTAAAACAATACATGTGAATCAGGCAGATTAATTTTTTTTTTCTGACAATAGAAGCAGGAATTAAGATCATTAAGATATTTGTATTTCCATTAATTTTTTGGAGGGCTATTAATTAATTAATCTGCCTTGTTGTGTGTGTGTGTGTGTGTGTGTGCATGCGCGCGCACACACATACACATGTATATAAAAATCTTACAGTGAAATATTATAAGCACACAATGGATCCCAATGAGCCTGCAATTTAATCTATTGATTGGTAGAAGGGATATAAAAGTAAATTTGATCTAAATGCCTCTAACTGCCAAAATCTGAAGTGATTTCATCATATTATTTATGCCAATAAGTGCCTTGTTTAGTCCAGGCCACAGGCAGATTTTTATAAGCTCTTTTTAGATAAAAATGATGGCTATTTTATGCCAAGAAATTATCTTTATCTCTAAACAATAAGTCTATTTGGAGGGGAAAAGTTACCGTAGCACATCTCAACTTAGTCTAACATGTTGGTTCATTCGTGAAATATGTGTTCTTCCATGTTAATGGTCACCACATGCGAGGCACGATAGATGAGCTGGCAGATAAAACAGATGTAATCCCTGCATATGGCTTTTCAGCAAATTAGAATGCTTAACTCTTGCGAAAAGACACATCCAGACAGTGTTTGCCATTCATTATACCTGAACTCTTCATCCCCACCTCACAATCACTTAAAACTGATAAATCATATAAAAACACATGTTTGTGTTTGTCTGTCTGTCTGTTTGTTTATTTTTGCATCTGGGACTGTCAACAAAAAGAATAAGTGGAATTCATTGGAAACTTCCTAAAGTATGGGCTCTAGGAGAGTACTGTTAGAAAGAAATCTATTTGGTGTATTTAACGACAGAAGCAAGAGGGAGGATTTCTTTATGAAAAAACATTATACTGAATTACATGCTATGTATAGAATGATGTGGTTTTTTGGTTTGTTTGTTTAATCTTCACCCAAGGACATGCTTATTGATTTTAGAAAGAAGGAAGTCGGGGCGGGGGCGGGGGGCAGGAGAGAAACATTGGTTGGTTGCCTTCCAGTCCATACCCCAACCAGGGATCAAACCCACAACCTAGGCATGGTCCCTGACCAGGAATCAAATCTGAAACCTTTTGGTGTATGGATGACACTCCAACCAGCTGAGCCACACCAGCCAGGGCTAGAGTGATGTTTTAAAATAATTATCTAACAAATAAGTTTAACCATCTTTTTCACTTGAAAATAAAACATGATAGTAGTGCCTCATTACCAATCTATTTTATAAAGATCTTCAGAAGATATTTAGTTTGGCAAAAATTGTAATTGGTTAATATGAAAGCTGGGGAAAAACAACTTTCTAAGACCTTCCCTTCCTTGTAAATACTCGCCTGTCAAAGTTGTATATTTTTCTTTTCATGTAGAATGGTCTGAAATTGGTTGAAATGTTTTTAATTTAATGTAGCAGACTGCATTAAGAAAAAGGTTTGTTAAAACTTGAATAGAATAGTAAATACTTTTTGAGGAGACTACAAAGGGAAAAGCCCAAGTCCTGTACTTATTATTGAGCTCATAACATCTCTGGCAGAGGCGGTTTAGAGAGCAAAATCATCAAAGTCCTTTTCCCCATTGGTAAACTCTGTTTATCTTCTCTTCCTGACCACAAGTAACAAATGTACTGCTATAACGAGAGATGAATAAAACATATGGGGCAGAAATCACGTAAGTTTTCACCAGTTTCCTAACACCATTTAGAGCACAAAGTTATTCTAATATAGACCAATATTTTCTCTTTTAAAAGTTTGTCATTGGCAACCATTTCTGTGAAATATGTGGTAGATGGTTTTGGAGCAAGTTCATATTTTGATAATAGAAAGGAAGAAAGTAGCTGGTTTGTGTCTATGAGACTTAACCTTTCAATAGGTACTAATCAAGCAGACAGGAAAAAAGTCTTATGGAATTTGACTTTAAAGACAGGGCTTTAAGGAAAGGGAATGCTAATATAAACACAAAATTTGATACTTAGGAGACTTGAAATGCCAGTGAAATTTTAAAATTATCCAAATATAAATAATAAATGTTGTAATAGTGCTAGGCTTTTACAATAAAATACTGTGCAAAGACTCCATGGCTAAGAAAGGAGGGAGGAGTGTTTTAGTAGATGTTTGCCTGATTGCATTTTTTTTTTCAAGTCAAATCATCAAATGTTGACAGTCTCAGTTAGTGCAAGAGAATTAAAACTCAGGTTGTTATTGCTGTGTTTACCTCTACTTCTTTCCTATTTCAATGATACTTGCCTTCTGATTTCTTAATACCCCTTTATTCCTGCATACTCCTATGGGAGAGCCTAGTACAGCTGTGGACAGACTACGGCCCGTGGGCCAGATCCAGCCCGTTTAAAATGAATAAAACTAAAAAAAAAAAAAAAGACCGTACCCTTTTATGTAATGATGTTTATTTTGAATTTATATTAGTTCACACAAACACTCTATCCATGCTTTTGTTCCGGCCCTCCGGTCCAGTTTAAGAACCCATTGTGGCCCTTGAGTCAAAAAGTTTGCCCACCCCTGGCCTAGGACCATGTCTAGCATATAGTAGAAACCATCAAAATACTTGGTGTTTAAGTTAATGTGTTGACTGTATGGGAAAACCTAACCCCCTCTTCAGGTTAAAATACACTGAACCACAGCTCCCATGTTTTCTGCAGAAACTACCCCTCTTTAGTTTTTTGGCAAGAAGATTGAGCAAACACGTTATGGGAGAGGTGGCCTGTTTCATGATGAGGCAGTACAGTGGATGTTTGAATTTGGGTGTTGGGGGAAGACAATGGAGGCAATAGCTAGCTTTTAAGTTAGCCACTCTTTAAGATATAAAGGCACAGGGTTAGTAAAAAATGTTAAAGAACCTACTGAGAGCAAGATGCTGTCCTATATCAGTGTCAATGAGAATAGAGCATTAAGAATTTGGAAAAAACTAAAATGCCAAAAGGCAAGTCCTGGTTCACTACAGAACTGCTTGATAAGATTGCTTATTGTGTGCTCCGTGCCAGAGATCTTTGAAGGCAAATCCAGTTATTGGTGCCCCTGCCCTACACCATGGTGATTTCTTAGGACACTTTCTTTCCAAAAGTGATTATAATGAAAGCATTGTGCACTTCTTCTCGACCCTTACCAGCACTATCTCTTGCCTAGTGGATGCAATGTAAAGTAATACCTCTTGGACAAACATATTAATCAAAACCAGAAAGAACAATTAATTGGAATCAATTGTTTAGAATATTTTATATAATCAATATATAAGTTCATAACAAAATTGGGAGGAAGGCACAGATTTCCCATGTACTCCTTCGTCCCATTCATGAATAGCCTCCCCCATTATCAATATGACTCACCAAAATGGCATATGTATAACCAAAGATGACCCCACATTGACACTCCATAATCACCCAAAGTCTAGTTTACCTTAGGGTTCTCTCCTGGTGCTGTACATTCTGTAAGTTGGGACAAATGTAAAATGATGTATATCCTTCGTTATAATATCACATAGAGTATTTTCACTGCCCTAAGAATCCTCCGGCCTCTGCTTATTCATCCCCGACTCCTCCTTAGCAACGACCTATCTTTTTATTGTCTCCATAATTTTCCCTCTTTAGGCATGCTATATCCTTGTTTTATCTATTTTTTTAACAATATGTCTCCATCATCTTTAAAATTGGTGATCTCATTCTTGGTGACCTCTACCGCATATAGTCAATAGTGCTTGTGAGAGTTTATTTAATCATATCGCTCTTAAAAGGGACATTTGGTTCTTTCTAAATCGGGGCTTTCAAAATCAATGAAAATCCTGCAAGACTGCACATATAAGAATACATCTAATCCACATGTTTTCTATAGTAATTAACCCTAAAAGCCTATGTCTATACCCTGATTCATGAAAAACTTTGGAAATCCCTCCTAAAACAACAATTATTTTGGTGCATATAATATCTAGCTCACTGTATCTATCTACTTACCTATCTATACCCTTATCTATCATCTACATATCACTTAACCCTGGGCCACTACTTACTAGTTGTATAATCTTGAACAATGTATGTGACCTCTATTTTCCTCTGCTGCTTCATAGGTAAATTGAAAATTTTAACAGTACCTACCCCATAGGGCAATGATGGTGAACCTTTTGAGCTCGGCGTGTCAGCATTTTGAAAAACCCTAACTTAACTCTGGTGCCGTGTCACATATAGACATTTTTTGATATTTGCAACCATAGTAAAACAAAGATTTATATTTTTGACATTTATTTTATATATTTAAATGCCATTTAACAAAAAAAAATATCAACCAAAAAAATGAGTTCACGTGTCACCTCTGACACACGTGTCATAGGTTCGCCATCACTGGTCTAGTGTGTGAGTCAGGTACAAATAGATAAAATATAGCATGTAAGCACAAAGATAGAAATAGGTATATTCTATTATGGGCGGGGGGGAGCCTGAATCAGTGTGGAGGGGTCAGGAAAGCCATCTTGGAATAAATTTACATAGGAGTGAGCTGGATAAAAGTGAAGTAAACATTTG